CTTTAGTCGACAAATTCCTACGGCTGTGCAGGGATCCAGACCTCCAACTGAACTGGAGCACACATGGATGGCCACGTGACACCGGTTCACTTTAAAGTGAATTCATCTTCTCCCAGGTTGCATGGCAGGTCCATCGATCAAGGGCGTCCACAGGGAGGGCAAAAACAGGTCAGGATGGAAGCCATGACCTCACAATCAAAGCCCCACCTCTTTTCTGCACCCTTGGCACCTGTGCAAAGGCAGGATAAGACACTACTCTTTTAAGGTGTTCCTTAAAAGGTAATACGTGAGTATCAACACACACTCCAAATTACTCGGCCTTTTGAATTTGCATCTCTGCAAAGGCCCCCTAATTGTTCTCAGGGCATAGGTAAACAGGCAACAGCGAGTGCGGCCAGAAAAAGGAAAAGCAATCCGCCTTTCCAAAATAAGAAATCTACCAGGTCATCGTTCTTTTAGATCAGGGTCCCTCAACCCTGGCAACGTGAAGACGGGTGGACTTCAACTCCCGGAATTCCCCATCCAGCTTTGCTGGCTGGGGAATTCTGGAGTTGAAGTCCACCCGTCTTCAAGTTGCCAAGGCTGAAGAACCCTGCTTTAGATTACTCCCTCAAGCCAACACCAGTGATAAAAACGAAGGCTCTAAAGCCGTGTCTCTCGGCCTTGGCGACTTTAAGATGGGTGGATTTAACTCCCAGAATTCCCCAGCCAGCCATGTATCTAATCACGCAGGCAATGCTTTTCCTTCTGACGCTAGGGAAGCAAAAGTTGGACTTTGAAGAAGCAGGATAGGAAGAGCATTGCCACTTTTGAACTTTGGTGTTGGAGAAGACTCCTGAGAATACCGTGGACAGCCAAGACAGCAAACCAATGGATCATCCAACCAACCACCCCAGAGTTCTCACTCCAGGCACAAAGGACCAGGCTCAAATTATCCTATTTCGGACCCACGATGTGAAAATCCAGTTCTCTGGAAAAGGCTCTAATGCTGAGAAAGGTGGAAGGAAAGAGAAGGAAAAGAGGACCAAGGGGGGAGGGACTCAGTTGCACTGGCAACAGGGGCACCCTTGGGAGACTTGAAGGACCAGGTTAGGGATAGATCGTGATGGAGAAAACCTATCTATGGGGTTGCTAGGAGTCGAAAGCAACTTGGCGGCCTGCAATCAGTCAAATTTTCAAAAAGCCTATCTGAGCAAACCGATTTCTTATCAAGAGAAAGAAGGTTTATTTCAGCCAGGCGTCAGCCAGCGTACCTTGGCAGCTTTTTCATACTTGCATTTTTGTCATCCGTAAAACTGGTTTGAGTTCTTAAATAAACACACGCCTGTTTCCTGAAACTATGGGATTCTGGCCAAGATAGCGGCAAGTGGGGGGATTAGTAGGACAACCGGGGCTGGAATGTAATGCCTGCAGTAGAAAAAAGCCTTCTATTCTATTCTTCATTCGTTTGGCTTCCCTGTTTGCCCTTCGTAAAAGTATTGGGTGGATGTGTAGATCATCCCATTTCAGTTCGCACTGTGAGGTAAATATGGAGCAAAAAAGGAACTTAATCTTTACATGCTAATTTCAAATCCAAAGCATTGGCCAATTCGCACAATATCAGGAGTATCGTGGTCGAAAATGTCAGGAGGGCAGCTACCATGGGGCAAGCAAAGCTCTGCTTGTTTTTTGCGTGTATCGTAGAGCTTCGATCACACTGTTGGGGGCGCCATCTTGACTTTTTGCCCCACTCTGCAGACACCCCTGGACCTTATCCTGTTTTCTAAAGCAACAAAAGGATCTGGATTTATGGAACATATTAAGCCCCAAAAAACTTAACCAAGGTTAACAGTAACAAAGGTCAACATGTTGTATAAAGATAGCCTCTTAACTTTTACTGAAGTGTGTTGTGTGAATCTAGCTGAAGTGTTACACTGTGTTGGAATGAACTCTTACCAAGTTTGTTTCCAAGCTGGGAATAAAAACGCACAGCCAGTTGCTTGGAACAGAGATGAAGTTTATTTCATAACTGAGTCCATCAGTTGCTGCTGGTCATCTTCTTCTCTTTCTTTCCACCTTTCCCAGTATTACTGACCTCCAATTAGGCAGACAGGATACAGGTTGTCCTCGCTTAACAACCATTCATTTAGTGACTATTCAAAATTACAACGGTGCTAAAAAGTGACTTATGACTGGTTCTCACACTTACGATTGTCGCAGCATCCCCACAGTCACGTGATCAAAATTTAGGTGCTTGACAACCAGCTTGCACTTATGACGGTTGCAGTGTCCTGGGGTCACTTGATCGCCATTTGCAACCTTCCCAGGGGGCTTCCAACAAGGAAAGTCAATGTGGGAAGCTGGATTCACCTACCAACTGCGTGATTCGCTTAACGACCATGGTGGTTCACTTAACGGCCACTGCAAAAAAGATTGTAATATCAGGTTTGATTCACTTATCAGCTGCCCCACTTAACAACCAATTTTCTGGTCCCTACTGTAGTCATTAAGTGAGGACTACCTGTACTTTCTATTCCAAATTTCTTGCATGTTATCCAGACTTCACCCCAATGTAGTTGTTAAAATCTTAGCATCAACATTTAACATAAATACTGGGCAACAGCTTGCACACTGGGCAGAATCCTTTCCAGTCTACAAAATTATAATAATATGAAGCAGGCAGGACTTTATTTTTATCAGATGTCTGAAATATTTCCAGAAATTAAAAAAATCTATTTTCTCCTTAATTTTTAAATACCATTTTACATTTATTCCATCTTGTCCAGGGATCTTTTCAGATTTCATAATACCAGTATCATAGATATCCTGTGAGATTAATGGTGCAGCCAGCTCACCTGAGTGTACGTCTGAAATTTCTGAAAGATTTATTACATTTAAAAAAGCATTTGTCTGCTCATTTGCTATATCTACAAGTGCAGAACATGTTTTTTCTAGAATTCAGAAACCTGAAGATTAATTTCATTATAATTAATGTACTTTGTTCCTGAGGAAGGTCTCATTAAAGGTATTATTTTACTTCACTGCAAAAGTCTCAGATGTGAAGTCAAACAGTTTCCCTGGGTTTTTTCCCCCGTTCCCAAAACTTTTGTTTCACTTGTTTTGAAAAAATATATTGCATAACCAAAGCACAGAATTGGCCCAATTCCAGCTTGGTAAATCCGAAAGTGGTGAGACGCTCCTAAGCAATTTATAACCCAATCATTTCCTTTCAGCTGTTTCTGCTAGTAAAGAAAATAAATCTTTGCCAGTCTATTCAAAATAGTGGTTTCAGCTGAAAGAGGCACTTGAAGGAAGGAAGAAGGACTTGAAAGAAGTATTTGATCTGGCAGACTGTTTTACTATAGCAGTTGATACCAAGAAACTTCTGATTTTTGTTTGCTCAAAGATTTCCAACAGAAATCTTTTGGAATAGAATTCTTTTGCAAACCCTAACCTGAGTGTGCCAACTACCAACATCAAAATAACGAGAGCTTTGAAGAGTAAACCCTTCAACAAATAGGTGTAGCAAAGGGGTTACACATTCTGTGGATAGTTGTGATTTTTTCCCGATTTTTAGTAGATTTATTTCTTAAATCTACATCCTGTTCCACTTAAGAGCAATCCTGTGAGTAGGTTGGGATGAAGGAAAGGGACTGACCCAGGGTCTCCCATGGAGCTTCCATGGCTGAAGGGGGAGCAGAACCTGGGTCCAAGGAAGCTTCTATGGCTAAGGGGGGAACTGAAGCAATTACAGGTAGTCCTCACTTAACAACCATTCATTTAGTGACCGCTACAACGTGTTAAAAAAAGTGACTTGCAGTCATGTGATCACCATTTGCCACCTCCTACCAGCTTTCCCATTGACTTTGCTTGTCTGAAGCTGGCAGTGAAGGTTGCCCACGGCAATCATGTAACCATGGGATGCTGTGATGTCATACTTGCAAGCCAGTTGCTGAGAGCCCAAATTGCGATCACATGACCACAGGGATGCTGCAATGGCTGCAACTATGAGGACTGGTCATAAGCCTCATTCAGCGCCGTTGTAACTTCGAACGGTTGCTGAACAAGTGGTCATTTGCTGAGGACTACCTGCAAAGGCTTTGGTACTGTATGGCACCTTTTATT